CCCCAGTAACCACTTGCTCCCCTCTCTCCCTGCAGATAACGTCACGCTGCAGATTGATGGTGTGCTCTACCTGCGCATCGTGGACCCTTACAAGGTACCTGCCTTGTTCCTGTGGGGCTCGGCCTGGCCACGTAGCCGGCTCTGGGCCTTGGGGAGTCCCTTCCTACCTCCTGTTCTGCATTGCTGTAGCTGCTTGTGCAAAGGACTGCAAGGGGCACTGAGGTCATGGAAGGAGCCAGGCCTGGAGCAGGGGAGGGAAGGCCAGGGCCAGGCCCCCACCCAATCTGCTGCTGTTCCAAGCTTCCTGCATGGGGAAGGGGGCCACACATGTTCCTCTCCTTATCTCCTGTGGGGACTCTGCCTGGGGCTGGTGTCCCCTGCCCCTTGTGTCCGGGTCCAGATCCCCTGCCCTAGCCTGGAAGCAGCAGCCACGCTTCCTGCTGGGCTGGGCGTTGGCCTGAGCCCTCTGTGCATGGGCTGGCCAGTGCATTGAGCCACCTGTGGGCCCTCAGCAGCTTGTAGGGGCCAGGAGAGCGGGCATTGCCTGCCATCCCTGCTGCTCCACTCCTCTTGGGGACAGCCCACGCTTGTTATGCACAGAGGCGGCTGGCAGGGCTGGGTATTGCTGCTGTGAGTCCAGTAGACACCCGCTCTGGGGCCAGGGCTCTGCCATGCGCCCCCCTGGGGCTGCCTGTTTCCTGTACTCGTCTAAGCACTGCTGCATTCATCTCCCTGCTGTGCCCTGGCATGAGCATTTGCCTTTGCTGGGGAGAGGTGGGCCCTAAGAACACCCCTCCCAGCAAGGGAGGGGGGTTGTCGACCTGCAGGGTCTTACTGAGTGCTGTGCTCTCCCGTTCCAGGCTAGCTATGGGGTGGAGGACCCTGAATACGCTGTGACGCAGCTGGCCCAGACCACCATGCGGTCTGAGCTGGGCAAGATCTCCCTTGACAAAGTCTTTCGGGTGAGTTGCATGCTGGGGCTGGGGCTTGGGCCCAGGGGTGGGAGGGAGCTGGATAGTGTCCCTAGGTCCTGAACAACAGGGCCTCCAGCCCAGCTGCAGTGTGCTCTTGTGAGACCCATTGGCTTGTGAGGCCCGAGAGAGGTGGCAGTGGGGGAGGGATGGTCTGTACGGAGGCAGCAGCAACGGCTGGGCCCCTGAGTGTCCCTAGTGGTGATTGTCCTGCTGGGAGGAGGGATCTGGTCCCAGGGAAGGTGAGGCAGAGCCCAACAGCGTTCCCAGAGCCAGTGGGGGTGGAAGGCGCCCAAGCCCCTCCACATCCAGCATCAAAGCTTGCTTCCCTGGGGCCCTTCCAGCCAGTCTGTATGCCCTGGCAGGGCCCAGCCGTGGGGGCTCCTGTGCAGTGGGTGCCATTCTCGGTGTACAGCTGGGGTCTGGAGAGGCCCCACTGGGCTGTGCTGGCAAAACTGCAAGACATGGCTGCCTCAGCTCTGGGCTCTTCATGTCAGGCCTGGAGTCATTTATGTTTAGTGGTACCTCTGCTGGGCACTGTCCAGCCCCATGGGAGACATCTGGAAGGTGCAGTCAGTCCTGCCTCAGATCCCCTCCCCTTCCCCCTCGGGCCTGTGTTTGGCCTCTGGGAGAAGGCCTGGAGGGTCCCCCCTGCCCCTCTCACCTGGCTTTCCCTGCCTGCCCCCGCAACCCCAGGAACGGGAATCCCTCAATGCCGGCATTGTGGATGCCATCAACCAGGCTGCAGATGATTGGGGCATCCAGTGCTTGCGCTACGAGATCAAGAACATCCACGTGCCGCCCCGCGTGAAGGAGTCCATGCAAATGCAGGTCAGCCCCTGCGCACGTGGGTCCTCATAGCTCTGACTGGTCCCAGCAAAGCGGCAGTGGCTCTACTTGCTGCCAGGTGGCTTTCGGTGCCATGAATGCCTGCCAGCACCCCTTGGTGGTAGAAGGCTGGCAGTGTGCCAGGAGCAGCCCTGCTGCCCCTGATCCCTTTCAGAGCCCTGTGCTACCCAGCATGAAATCACGAGTGCAGTCTATGGCATGAGCTGCCTGCTCACTGTCCACTGCATGAGGTGGGAGTGCAGCGGCCCAGGCCGAGCTGGGCAGCAAGCATTGCATCAACGGCTTGGTTGCTCCTCACTGCAGTGCCCAGGCTGAGTCAGGCTGGGCTGCCCAGGGCTTCCCAGGTCCCTCCCAGGGTTGCCTCCTGCACCTTGCTTGCAGCCGGTCTCTGCAGGGAGACAGGCCCATGCCTCCCCCAAGGAGGGGGAGCCACGCTTCCTGCAGCCACCAACCCCAGCACTTTCTCGCAGGTGGAGGCTGAGCGGCGGAAGCGGGCGACGGTGCTGGAATCAGAGGGGACGCGGGAGTCTGCCATCAACGTGGCTGAGGGACACAAGCAAGCGCAGATCCTGGCCTCCGAGGCCCAGAAGGCCGAGCAAATCAACAAAGCCTCTGGTAAGGGCCTGGGCTAAAAGTGCAGCAAGGGCTCCATAATGCCCCCTATGGGGCTGCCCCATCGAGGTGGGGAGAGCTCAGACCTGCTTCCTCCAGCAGCAGCAGGTTCTCCCACATGCCTGGGTGGGAAAGGAGCCGGGGTCCCTGGCTGGCATCACCCAAGCCCCTGCCTTACTATCTTCTTGGAGCCTGGTGTCACAGGGCATGCAGCCTGTGCGTGGCTGGTGCTGCTGAGCCACAGCCTAGTCCAGGCTGAGGCACAGAGCGGGCACCTCACCTTGCTGTGGCCTGGGCTTTCCTTTGGCTCGAGCCAGATGCTGCCCTTCCACAGGGCAGGACCCAGCCACCTACCAGTGGCTCCAGGGGTGTCGGGGCTCTTTCTGCACTGGTGCTTCCTCCCCTGCTGATTTCCCCTCTGCCGTGTTCCCTTCCCAGGAGAGGCCAGCGCCATTCTGGTCAGAGCCAAGGCCAAGGCTGAGGCAATTGAACTCCTGGCGGCTGCACTGACAAAACACGTGAGTGTGTGTTTTTGGTGGAGGGAGGTGAGGAAGCTGGGGGCTGCTGCCGTGCTGGGTCTGTTGCATCCCAGTATCTCTAAGGCAGGGACTGCAGGTGGTGGCAGGGTCTGCCCTGACCCTTCATCCCAGTGGATGCTCCGGACATCTCAGCACACGTCTGGGGTGGGGGTCGGGGGGTGGTTATCCCCTTGGTTAGCTGCATGGATCACCCCAGGCCCATGTGTGTGTGGGTCTCTTGTTTGCAGGGTGCCTGGAGGCCCCCAGGCAAGGTCCCATGGGCCAGTGCTGGACACCCCGTGTGCTCAGGACACCCCCATGCTCCCACCCTGAGTTTTGGAGACGCTGCTGGTCCCCGGCAGCAAGGCTGTGCTATGGGTTCCTACTTGACCTTTGTGCTGCTCTGTTGGGAGGTTCCCCGGTCATCTTTGTGTGGGGGGGAGGGAGCCAGTCCATAAAGGCTGCTAATATTGGCTGGGGGTTACCCGGCTTTCCCTTTCCAGGTCCCTTCACTCTCCTTGGCCAAGGAATCCCAAGCCTGCGGCTTCCCAGCCACTCAGCCATGCCCCCCTCATCCATGCAGTAGAGTCACGTGGGGGCTTCACCTTCTCATCAGCTGTGACTGGGGCAGAGCAAGGAGTGCTGGTCCTGCAGCATGGCTGGGCAGCACCTCGTGTCCTTGTCGGAGGAGCTGCTTTTCCCCAGAACATAACTCTGCCCTGCTTCTCTTGCAGAACGGCAACGCAGCCGCCTCCCTGTCGGTGGCCGAGCAGTACGTGAACGCCTTCTCCCACCTGGCCAAGGACACCAACACCATCCTGCTGCCCGCCAACACCGGCGACATCACCAGCATGGTCACCCAGGTCAGTGCGGCTGAGCCCTGGCGCATGGGTTGGGAAGGAGGGAGGCTGTGGGAATGCAGCGCCTCACATCCTCATGGGGAACAAGCGAGCCCGAGGCCTGGAGCAGGAGGCTTCTGGGTGGGAGTAACCACGGCCCGGCTCAGCTGCTGACGTTTGGACTCCCAGCTGCACGCTCTGGGGCTTGCTGGGCACCAGGCCACTGCTGCTGCCTTGCCCGAGGCAGGAGGCTGGGCCTTCCTGACCACAGATGCTCGAGTGATAGGTAACCAGGCCTCTCCTCAGGACTCATTTCTCCCACCTGACGGCTGTTTCCCTCTTCCTAGGCTCTGGGCATCTATGGTGCCTTGACCAGGCCGCATGCTGTGAAGCCCCTGGAGCCCTCGCTGCCTGCCCCCGATGTCCCGAAGCCCCCCAGAGTGGAGCTACCCGAGTCTGAGCAGCGCCAGTCCAGCTAGCAGGGCCATGGGTGCTAGAGCGCTGCCCTCACCCCTCAAACACTCTCCTACGTTTCCTTCCTGATTTTTTTTATTTGGATTGAATCATGTAATAAAGGAAGTGGCCCCGGGGCTGGCTGTGCTACATCAAGCCCTGCATCTGCTCAGCTGCAGCTGGCCGGGAGGGCTGCGAGGGGGGAGGGCTAGGGGCGCACTTGGATGCTCCAGGCTGAGCTGCTTGTCCCCGATAAGCCAACGGAAGGGACTGGAGCTGGCCGCGGCCCCCCATCTCCAGCCTCGTAGCGGG